AGGATGAGGTGGTTTTCTGACCGCATCGAAATTGGTGTTTTTCGCAAAACTGCAATGGAAACACTTTTTTCACATCACGGGATTCACGTAATCAACAACCGGATGTTTCTACTGGCGAAAAAAAAAAAACGAAGAAGAAGACCAGGAAGTAAAAGTTGTAAAACCACCGAATTTGTAAAAGTAAGTAGGAAACTCACCAACTACAATTTCCCAAAAACACCGCATACGTAGCCACTCCCACCTTTAAGGCACTTGTCACTCGAAAGCCTCGATAAAAGACGCCGACGTCTCCTCTGATGATGAGTTCTAGTGTCGTGGTAGCAACATGCTATGTGTTTACATCCATCGCCGCCATGTTTGTAATGACTTATTGTGAGAACAAACGTATTCACGCGTGACTTTAATAGCATTTCTTACTTAATGGAAACACCGCAGTTGCGAAACTGTGTTTTTCGACATTAACAGAATATCGACAAAGTTTTGAGCACATTTGCAATGGAAACACAGCTACTGTGTTGTCATGATGTTTTGGGCATGTAACTAAAACTATTTTAATCAGGACATAGATTATAAAAGTCAAGCCTTAAAAATGAAACTAAAACAAATGGTGTGGTGCTCTAAATCAGTATCTAACTAATAAATTCCTTCTTTGGCATATCATCATGCATTTCCCCCCTTTTCTTAATAAATCAGTTTTTGTTATTTTCTTGAGAAAACCTTCTTGATGGCTGCAGACGAACATATTTACCTGGTCCCACAGAGCACCAGCCACCTGATCAATGACGGCCCCGAGTTCTCTGTACTCCCCAGAGTAGCGGATGTAGGCCCAGGTGCAGAGGGTGATCAGCGCCAGGCCCAGGATCATGTTACATAAGCTGGCGATGATGTCCACGCCCACGAAGCCCGTGATCCCAGCTGCCACGTACATGACGAAGATGACCACGAAGAGCGTGGCGGGCGTGCGCGCCGCGTGGAAAATGTTCTTGGAGTCGTTGTGCTTGATGTACTGGACGAAMACCTCGTCGACCTCGCCCTCCAGCTGCTGCAGGTAGCGCCGGCTGAACTCCTCGCCTCCCATCTTCTTCACCCCCCGAAACAGCTGCAGGGCCTCCTCTCTGATGGCGCCGTGTCGGGCCTGCAGCTCGCTGGGGGCCAGGAAGGGGCGATCCCCTCCGCAGACCTGGGAACAGGAGGCAGTGGGTTAATACCGGGGAAACACAGTTACACATTTGAAACCTAATGAAGAAACTTGTTTCCACCAACCTCCTCCATTTTTCGGTTGTACAGATCTTTTGCTGCTGCGACAGCTGCTAAGTTATTGGCCTCTGCTGTGGCCTAAGTGAAAGCACAGAGTTCACATGTTCACCCAAAAACTGTAAACAAACCTCATGCATGAACTATATTTAAGATTACAAACAAACAAACAAACAAACAAACAAACAAACAAACAAACAAACAAACAAAGATATAAGTAAACTCCTATTATGTTCATTTCTGAGGAACAGCGATTTTGTTCCTGTGACACTTCGACCCAGAAAATGTTTAATCATGCAATAATGTCAGAAAAAAAAGATCCCCCAAAACATCGTGTGTGTTTATTGATTCCATTACTGACTATTTCAACCAATATTTGTGTGATTTTTTTTTATATTTCTCACAGATCAATAAGGACAATTCATTAATCTCACATAAAAAATGCACATTACCAGTGGTGGGCACCAGTCCACTAAATCGCAAATTCGCTAATTGCAGACCTAAATATTTTGTTTGGACTTSAGCGGACTTACTAATTTTTATAATTCATAAGCAAATTTGTGCTTTCTAAAAYTACAATGCAGTACTACTAATAACTAATTATCTAACAGTCATCATTATCTTGAACAGCAGAAGGTATGGTTATCAATGAATCACAACGCATGATCTATCCAAAAAAGCACCCCTCCCAGATAAACACACTTATTGTGAAGGTATAGATCCTTGCTGACAGTTGCTTTGGGTCACGGTTCTGATTTCCCACAATGCTTTGTGTCTGCTTATGTAGCAGGAGGGCAATAGCAAAACCAGTAAACATTTGTAATCCATACTAAAATTTTGTATGTATTGATTTATTTTACTTTACAATCGGAGCTCCTTTTTTAAAAAAAWAAATAAATAAAGTTTAAACGCTGGAGCTCAAAAACAATCAGCCAACGGGGTTAGAGACTCAGAAATGATTTAAAGATGTTATGCTGATGAAGACTGACATCTAGTGGTCAACTGGAGTAACTACATGAAAAACTTTCATTTCCCGTCACAAATCAAATCCGTCATGTACCCAGAATGCATCGCTTCGGTTTTCCAATAAACAATTTTAAAATTACTTTATTGATGCTTCTTTAATGAAAAATCTACAACAAACAAAAGAAAAAGAMAAAGAAGCAGCCGAACTAGCAATCCTCAAAAMCTTTTTAACTTTTACACCAGGAGCCAAAGGTCTGTTTCAGGAACTCACATCCCCAGCAATCAACACTTGCAGGGTTAAGCTATAAAAGGGTTCATATACCACTAGATATCAGTGTTGTTAATACTGTGTATTGTACAGTTGTTGTCAGGTTGTAGATGTTAAATTGAACTTGTGCTTTAAAATTAGCTCCTATAAGCATTTTTGAGGTTGTGGACCTAAATAATTTCATAAGCRCTTTAGAAGTTGCGGAGCTAATTTTTGGATTGACACTGCCCRCCGCTGCACCTTACATTTTTTATAGTCACACAAAAGCAATGGTTATATGTGAAATTAATCATTTTTAGATTTTTATTGTTTTACATTTTGATCTTTGTAATATGTAGATGTGTGTGTGTGTGTGTGTGTGTGTGTG